AGACTGCTGAGAGGCCCAAGAAAAGGCGAGGGTTTTGCTGGGGTGTGAATTAACTACAGAAGTAAGACCCCGTACAGAAGACCTGAGGAGACAGCACAAAGAGACAGTAGAAAGGAGACAGTAAAAGGAGACAGTAGAAAGGAGACAGTAAAAAGGAGACAGAAGAATATAAAATATATTCTGTAATAATAATATTATAATAAGAAAGAAGAATATTTAAGAAGGGGCAGAAACAGAAGGAGACAAAAATATATAAAAGGAGACAGAAGAAAGAGACAGATAAACAGAGACAGAGACAGAGACAGAGACAGAGGCAGAGATAGAGACAGAGATAGAGATAGAGACTAAGAGATAGACAGAGACAGAGACAAAGACTAAGAGATAGAGAGAGACAGAGACAGAGACAGAGAGACAAAGAGACAGAGACAGAGACAGAGACATATATATATATAGAGAGAGAGAGGGAAAGAGAGACAGAGACAGAGACAGAGACAGAGACAGAGACAGAGACAGAGACAGAGGCAGTGATAAAAAGATAGAGAGAGACAGAGACAGAGACAGAGACAGAAAGACAGAGTTAGAAAGACGTAGAGGGAGAGAAGTAAAGAGAGGGGGAGAGAATAATACAAAAAGAGACAGCCAAGTAGACAAGGAGACAGTAAGAGACATAAAAATATAAAAGGAGACAGAAGGAGACGCTGTATACACCTGAAGGGCCGGGGAGAGAAGACAATTCTTTCTATAGTCAGCGCAGCGCTGAGAGGCATCGACAGATCCGACAGCAAACTCGATACAAAAGGAAACTCAAATGCTGCTGCTGCTGCTGGTTCTGCTGCTGCTGCTGGTTCTGCTGCTGCTGCTTCTAGCGCAGCTGCATCTGCTGCTGCTGCAGTTGGTGTGTCTGTGTCTGCTGCTGCTGCTGCTAGCATAGTTGCTGCCGGAATCTGCAGCGGCTGCTTTCTGTGCTGCTGCTGCTGCTGCTGCTGCTGCTGCTGGTATGAGGTGTACATACACCCCGAGAAGCAGACATTGAAGTCTAAAGAGTAAAATGTGTCTCCTCTTCCTTTTGCTGCAGTGGGTTTATATTTTATTTTTAAAGGGAGACAATGAGGCCCAGAAGAAGCAGCAAAAAGACAGACAGAAAAGGTCGCAGCAGAATGAGGTAGAATCACCCCCTTAGAAGGCTGCAGCTGCAGCAGCAAACAATTCGAGCTGCCGATACACCCTGAGGTGTATCGATAAGGAGACAACTCAAAATATAAAGAACTGCTGCTGATGTTCTTCACCTCGATTAACTGCATGCACCCCTCTTCGCTCCCCACAACAACCGGAGCCAACTGCCACGCACAAACCCTAAACCCTAAACCCTAAACCCTAAACCCTAGGTTTTGAAGACGTGAAGCGCTAGCAAAGCGGAATGTGATAAAAGTTTGAGGGTTTATCTCCAAAGTGCAGAGAGAAGCCGCAAATGAGGGTTTAGGGTTTAGGTTTTAGGTTTTAGGGTTTAGGGTTTAGGGTTTAGGGTTTGAATGAGCTGACTTGAACGCTTGGGGGGGAGTAAAGAAGCGGCATATTTGGCGACAGTTTGAAGGAGATTAGGCGAAGACGAAGGACCTTCCCGTTGGAGATCTGTAGAATGATTTGTGCTTCTGTTTTATGAACTGTCTCCTCTTCTTTTTCGGGTGTATGCGCACCTCCTGTCTCCTTTTCTACTGTCTCCTTTGCTGCTGTCTCCTTCTTTGCATGCACCACCTGCAGCAGCACTTCTTTAGATGCCTTCGGCCCCAGACGCAACTTCGAAGGCTTCACTAACACTTCAGGGCCCTTCTCCTCTTCTTCCTACACACACAAACCCTACACCCTAAACCCTAAACCCTAAACCCTACGAGCTAGGCCAAGCGAGACAAACCCTCGTTCAGGCTCCTTTCGGCCATGAGGCTTACTACTTGTTAAGGTTTAGGGTTTAGGGTTTAGGGTTTGGGGTTTAGGTTTTGAGTGTTGGGGTCCAGGGTTTGGGGTTTAGGGTTTGTGGCGTAGGGTTTAGGGTTTAGGGTTTAGGGTTTGTGGAGTGTACCTCTTGCATCCAGACTGGCAGTGCCTCTACTTTAAAGAATTTTTCTGTAAGGAGATTAATATCTGCTTGGGTGTCTCCTGGGTTATAGAAGGTGAGGAGGAGGCGGGAGGAGACGATCCCACCGATCCCGGGATCGGTGGGATCGTCTTCGTACACCCCACAGTTGCAGCAGATAGAAGGCAGACACTCCAGCGCCTGTCTCCTCTCTACCAAACCCTCAGCAGCAGCAAACCGTCGATCAGCAGCAGACAAAGGACTGCAAAGCAGCCTGAAAATCAAGCACCAATACATCTGCTAGGGTTTAGGGTTTAGGGTTTAGGGTTTAGGGTTTGTTAGATCTCAACCCTAAGGAATGAAAAGGGTTTTATATAAACCCCTATACTGTGAAGTTCCCCATCCCATTTCAAAAGATCAGAAATTAGGGTTTAGGTTTTAGGGTTTAGGGTTTAGGTTTTAGGGTTTAGGGTTTAGGGTTTAGGGTTTAGGGTTTAGGGTTTGAAGTACTTGTTGATTTGAGGTGCATTGAAATCCCGCCACATAGAAAAAGGAGAAGATAAACCCTCAAGCAGACGAACATCTGCAAGAAAAATACTAGGTAGAAGAACATCTCCAGAAACAACAAAGCGAGATAAAAGAAGAGACGAAGAGCTGCACATACACCCCAAACGCAGCAGACAAAATCGAGTAAATAAAGGAAATAAATAAATAAAAGATATAAATTAATTTAAAATGAATGAATACAGAAAGTAAATTAAATAAATATATTATAGCCTGGTAAAGTAGAGCTGCTGCAGGTGTATCCTTCGTTTTGCTTCATTCTATTGCTGCTGCTGCAGCAGCAACAGCAGCAATAACAACGACAACAGCAATTGCTGCTGCTGCTGCTGCTGCTGCTGCTTCTGCTGCTGCTGCTGCTGCTGCTGCTGCTGTCTCCTTACGTTTGTATATCATCGTCTGTCTCCTCTGTGTCTCCTCCTTGTGTCTCCTTTTCTTCTGCTGCGTCTTCTTCTGTCTCTTCTAGCTGCTGCTGCTGCTGCAGCAGCAGCATGACCTCGAAGCAAAACTTTCCTGGGTTTAATGTGGAGACAGCAAACTTTAACTTGGTGCAGCAGCAGCTAGCAAGCGTCTCTTCTGATTTATACACCTCAAGCACTGCAGCAGGAAGCCCTTCTCTTTCTTCTGTCTCCTTTACTTTCTCTTTTACTGTCTCCTTTGTTGTCTCTTTTATTTCGTCAAAAGCAGAGACAGAGACAGATCTCCAAGCCACGCGGTAACGCACATCTGCATGCGTTGGATTTGATATTGCCACCTGCACAAACCCTAAACCCTAAACCCTAAACCCTAAACCCTAAACCCTAAACCCTAAACCCTGGGGTCCCAATTGCGAATAACGGAACACCCTCCTAGGCGCTGCAGCAAAGGCAATAATAGCAGTACTGCACGTGTGGGGTGTAGGCAGAACTTAGGGTTTGCATAGATTAGGGTTTAGGGTTTAGGGTTTAGGGTTCAGGGTTTGTACCTGCTGCGTGACTCTGCTCCCAACTGCAAGAGGCCCCACGCAAATAGAAGAAGGGCTGAGATGAAGAATAGGGTAAATAGATTTGCTGTAGATGGGTACTGAGTAAAGGGTTTGTGTTTTTGTGCTTGAGGGTTTAGGGTTTGCTGCTTCTTCTCCTGCTGCAGCAGCAACGCCCCAGCAGCAACTGTCTCCTTTGCTGCTGCTCGCAGCAGCAGCATCAAGAACCCACTCTCCGTTCTTCTCCTTTAACAGAGACAAAAGGAGACAGACACCCCAAACTATGCATCGTTCCTGTTGCTGCTGCTGCTGCTGCTGCTGTTGCTGCTGCTGCTGTTGCTGCTGCTGCTGCATGCGCTAAGCTGCAGCAGCAGCAGCAACAACGGCGGGGATTAGGAGAAGCAGCAACAACAGAGGCAACAACTTCAGACAAAGCTGCATCTGCAGCAGCAGCAGCGGCACAAGCAGTAGCAGCAGCAGCAGCAGCAGCAGCAGCAGCAAGAAGCATACAAGTATCTCTGCTCGCAGCAGCAAAGTTGCTTCATAAGGGCCTTCTCTGTGGGGTTTGAAGAAGAGAGACAAATTGTGTGTCTCTCTCGCACCTAAAACTAAACTCAGCTCCTCCGATGAGCTGTCTGCATGCACACAAACCCTAAACCCTAAACCCTAAACCCTAAATACTCAACCCGTCATGTGGCCAGCAACAACAAAGAGGCGGGTTGATGCAGCAGCAGGAACACCAGCACTAGCCCTAAACCCTAAACCCTAAACCCTAAACCCCCGCCGGCTAGCAGTATCCACTAGGCAGGTCTCTGTAGCAGCAGCAGCAGCAGCAGCAGCAGCAGCAGCAACACCACTAGCAGCAGCAACAGAACAGCACCAGCGCTAGCAACAGAAACCGAAGCAACAGAAGCATCATCAGGTGCAGCAGCAGCTGCAGGAACAACAACAACAGCAACAGCAGCAGCAGCAGCAGCAGCAGCAGCAGCAGCGGCTAACTTGTTGCTTTATCGACGTCTCCGAGTTGTATGAAGTAATTTTTGCGGCTTTTGTTTGCAACTGTAGTTGCGCTGTTTGCTTTTTTGTTTATTTTGTTTGTCTCCTTCAGCTGTTTTGCGTTTGGAGACAGCTTTTCTTTTATCTCTTCATCTGTCTCTTTATCTGTCTCCTTTCTCTCTCTCTTGCTTTCTTTATCTGTCTCTTTATCTGCCTCTTTATCTGTCTCTTTATCTGTCTCTTTATCTGTCTCTGTTGCTGCTTTTATTTGTTTGTTTTTGTCTGTTTTTGCTGCAGCAGCAGCAGCAGCAGCAGCAGCTGCTGCTGCTGCTGCTGTGGTGTCTCCTTTGTCTGCTTCTACGCTTTGTTTGTTATCTTCTGCTGTCTCCTTTTTTATTTTATAAATATGAATTCTTCTTTGCTGCTGCGGTGCAGCAGCAGCAGCTGCTGCTGCTGCTGCCTCCGCATGCTCTTGCTGCAGCAAGGCCTGCATGCTCCCTCCCCCCTGTTGCTGCTGCTGCTGCTGCTGCTGCTGCTGCTGCTGCTGCACTGTTACATAAACCCTTAAAGCAATATCTCCTTCGTTCTTCACCGAAAGCAAACGACGCGCCAAACCCCCAACCCCCACCAACTCAAACAGCTGCGCAACAAACCCTAAACCCTAAACCCTAAACCCTAAACCCTAAACCCCAACCCCTAAACACCAAACCCTACCTCGCGAGCCATAAACCCCAACCCCTACCCCCGCAACCCTAACCCGTAAACCCTAAACCCTAAACCCTAAACCCTTGTCTCTTACAATAGGGTTGTCGCTGATGCTGAGGGTAGGTATCTGCAGATGAGTGAAGACAGTGAGGGTTTGAGAGGACGCAGCAAAACCCCCTAGGGTTTTTAATTTAAAGCGATGCATTTGTCCTCCAGCAGCAGAGGAGACAGTTGGTTTATGCAGCAACAAAAATAAATGAAAGCTCCCGCTAGCGATGCTGGCCCACTCAGGATACACCCTAAAACATACCCATGCATGCACACGAGGGTTTAGGGTTTAGGGTTTAGGGTTTAGGGTTTAGGGTTAGGGGGTTAGGGGCTAGTGTTTAGGGTTTACGGGGTAGGGTTTAGAAGAGGTTAAACGCTAGGGGTTAGGGTTTAGGGTTTAGGGTTTAGGGTTTAGGGTTTAGGGTTTAGGGTTTAGAGAACAAGTTACTTCAAATCATCAGTTTGTGTCTGCTCTAAACCCTCATCTTCTTGCGGTTTTTCTTCTTTAACGAACTCAACATCTACTTGTTTGTCTCCTTTGTTTGATACTTGAACGACCTGCCAAGCCACTTGCCCTGAAGCCAAACCCTAAGCCCTAAACCCTAAACCCTAAACCCTAAACCCTAAACCCTAAACCCTAGACTCTAGACCCTAGATGCACTCAGTTTGGAGCAAACGTTTTCGAGGGAAGCAGACGCAGAGACAGCAGTCTGCGTTGTCTAGCTCGAAGCATGAGGGTTTAGGGTTTAGGGTTTAGGGTTTAGGGTTTAGGGTTTGTGGCTTACCGACGGCGCAAGGCATGAGTTTGAGGGTTTTAGGAGAGAGTTGAAGAATGTCTTCACTGCGTTGAGGTGTATAGGCAGCTGCAAAGGATAGCGAAGGCCCTATGAGGTTTATTTTAAGCGTCTCAGGTAGAGATATATTTATACTTTTTATAGCTTTTGCTTGCAACAAAGAAGACGAGAAAATCAGAGCCTCCGCTGTCTCTCTCAATAAACCCTCTCCTGGATAGCCCCTCCAAGTAACCCTAAATACATACAATCATAAACCCTAAACCCTAAACCCTAAACCCTAAACCCTAAACCCTAAACCCTAGAGCGGGAGCTCTTGTGAAGCCAAAATGATAAACCCCTTAGAGCAAAAGACCCTCCAAACAACGCAGGGAACATAATGCAGGGCCTAGGGTTTAGGGTTTAGGGTTTAGGGTTTAGGGTTTGCTTACATGACTTCAGAAGAAGAAAGAGGAGGCACAATGCAAGTGCTGGGGTGTACAGACACCGCAGAGGGCTCCGCACCCCTCAGCATGTGGCTCCAGCAGCAAAACAACTAAAACAAAATAAACAAATTAAATAAACAAATTAAATAAAATAAATAAATAAAAATATATAATTAAATGGACTAATTAATTAACTTAAATAAAATATATTATGTACATAAAACAAATGCAAATAAATAAAGTAATCTAAGAAATAATTAATTAACATAAATTCAACTTAATAAATTATATAATTAAAACAAAAAGAAGCAAAGGAGACAGATAAAGAGTTAAAGGAGACAGATAAAGAGTTAAACAGACAGCATAACAAAATAATAAATATATTTAAATGAGTATTCAAATAAATAAGCAAAGAGAGAGATTAAAAGAAAGGAGACAAAAAAAGAAGCTGCCCCCACAACGAGAGACAGAGACAGGCACCACTGCTGATCCTCAGGGTTTAGGGTTTAGGGTTTAGGGTTTAGGGTTTAGGGTTTACCGGTCGCTCCGTTCTGTTCACAATTGTAACAGACTGCGAAGAGTGAAGGCGTTTAAATTCTAATTTGGGGGGGAAGAGGAAGGCTGCCCTGTACATACACCGCAAACAATCGAGCTGCTGCTGCTGCTGCTGCTGCTGCTGCTGCTGCTGCTGCTACTGTGTTGCAGCTGCTGGTGGAGTGAGTGCAGCAGCAGATTTGCGTCCGCTGCTGTTGCTGCTGCAGCAGCAGCATTTGCGCTGTTGCTGCACCAGTTTATCCAGCACAGGCTAACACATTTGCTGCTGCTGCTGTTGC